AATTGGCTTCATTACTCTGCTCTCCTCTCCACTGATAGCTGATGTGTGGTGAGCGTTCTGGTGCACTATGGCTGCCGTCGCATCATCCAGGTGGATGCTGCACATTGGTGGTGGTTAGGGGAGTCCCCATTACTTGTAAAGCGCTTTGAGTGGAGTGTCCAGAAAAAGCGCTATATAAGTGTAAGCAATTATTATTATTATTACCTTTTCTTAATGTCTAAATACGAGAGCTATAGACTCAGCTTGTTGACCACCCTGAGACTTCATTCAGCAGAGTAAACAGCGTATGATTTTGTAATCCATTACGTTCTGTAATATGTAAAACTTTGCTGTGCCTCATAATCAGACGTCTATCAGGATTAAGGGATTTAAAGTATTAAATTTCTCAGGTATACAGTCACTTTCAGCCAAACAGCTTAATGGTGGAAAGGTCAAATCTAAAAATATTGTCAAAATTGTTGAAACAGCTTCAAATGAAATCTCATCTCAGTTGGAAATTATTTTTTTCGGCTGGTTTAAAGTAATTCAAGGCAAGTTAAGGTTAAGGAATACACAGGATTTGGGAAAAGAATAAGAATTACATTTTGTTCATGTCAGTGCCATTACAAAAGCTGAACCCTTTTCTCAATTCCTTAGCTCTTAAATTGCTGGTTGCTAGGCAAAAGCCATTTGCTGTATTCTCCCTGTAAATTGTAAAGTGTGTGGATTCATTGCATGGGGATGCAGATTAAATAGTGCTTTACACTCCTGAATAGACTTGCAAAATTATTGTGAGTTTCAGTTTTGTTCAGAGGATTTCAAGATTTATTGCAATTGCTTAATACAAAAATATGTAAATGTACATTAAGTCTCAACTACAAGGACTGAAACAATAATTTTGTGGGAATATTGGATTTGAATGCACTACTATATAATTTTTTAAAACTGTCAGTCACTGTCTGGGCAGCAGGTAAATTTGATTTACACACCTTTGCTGAAAAAGTGAAAATTGGATTGCCTAAATGCAGAGACCTGTATGACATGAAGTTCACAAAGCCATTACAACCAGCTGACCCTTTTCAATCAGATGCTGCTGAACTGCGGAAGACAAATATATTGTGATCAGGACTGGTCAGATTATCTAGGCTTACTGTACAGGTAAATGTACATAAGACACATTTACACCAAATATTTTAAAGCCCAGCTGCCTTCAGGAGGTCCTGTTTTAAAATGTCGAAGCAGAGTCACATTGAAATGATTTTATGTGCTTAGTCCATTGGCAAGGCTGAATTGAGAAAATGCTTTAAAACCTCAGGCATCTGTTAGGAGAAACAGCTCCGCTCTATTTAAAAGTGTTCCTTCACAACTGACCCACATGTGTGCAGGAGATAACCAGCCCAGCAACAATGCGAGCAATGGCCAGTGTGGAGAAACAGCTGCTATGATCCGTCACTGAGCAATGTGAGGAACGCACAGGCCATGTGGCCTCTGTCAGTGACCACTGGCACAGCTGGTGGCTATCCTCAGTGCACTCCTGCACCGTTGGGCTCTATTAAAGGATCACGACACAAGGTGGTGCCAAACTAAGCTTTCACATGATCGATTAGTTCCATGTGAAATAAAACAACAATATCAATTTACTGATTTGGGGACCCCTTACCAAATTTTCTACACGAGTCTACAAATTTTAACTGTCGTAAAAGTAAGTTTGCAATTTAAAATATATGTTTTAATATTAACAATACCCTCTGGAGACAGAATTTGAATCCTACATACAGCATTTACCATATGCTAATGTAGCAATAGCAAGGATAAGTGTGTCCCATTCAGCCGTGTGAATTCTGGACTTTCCAGACTTTCTGGACTTTCCAGCTTTGAGGACCACCAGAGGTCTCCACATCCTAATCCCAGAACCACTGTACTTCTGTGAATATCTGGCCTTTGTTTTACTAAAACAAGAAATAAATAATTAGTTTTTCTTGACAAGTTCACTGCAGTCGCTTCCTTACATCATCCTTAATCATCAAGAGTTGCTGCATACAAAGCTAGTCATCCCTTTGAGACACATGAAATAAAAGATTACCCGCAGACCATCTTAAACCAAATGCAGCTGACATGAACTGAGAAAGCTGACACGAAGTTGACAATTTTGTGTCTCCTAGAGCAACTACAGCACCTGTGTTTGCTGTCCAGGGACAACTCTGGCTCTTCAGATGGCTGAAGGTCCCCTTCAAATGTCACCAAAGCAATTGGATGATACTGCATGCTATTGGGTGTTGTATATAAATCTGGTGGGGTATTCATAGGGTTAATTCTGAAGGCAGATCAGCTGGGGTATGAAGGGGTATTGTGAGGCTGAAACACTGGGAAACACAAGCTGGATAAAATCTAAGCAGTGCAAATCTGCAGTTTTATACCAGTGAAAACGTTTCTCAGGCCTCCTCTGAGTTTCAAGAAGGAGGTGTCTGATGTAACAGCAGCAAAAAAGATCCACTCAGTACTAAACACGATTTTAACGCTGGGAGGGGGCGACAGCCTCTTTTGTGCCAGACCAGAGGGCAACAGAGCTTAATTGACAAGAGGAGAGGCACTCCCACCCATGTTCAGATCCTTATTCCAGCATGAAGTATGAGCCACTGGTTTTTAAAGTCAACACCAAAACACAAACATCAGCTGTCTTGCTAGGTTACCATCTGTCAACCTGGTTGAGTCCCAGGCCCTGCGTCAGTACAACACTGAAGAATACTGACATAAACTGATGGGATACTGAAGAGCTATCCTCTACAGCATGTCTCCTTTGTAAAAAACATTTACTAGAGGGAAAAATAATTGCAGTGGGAGTAGTGCTCTAAAACCACTTGTCTCTACCTGGGCTGTAATGGCACTGTGAAGAAAATCCAGGACAGGAATCTTATCAATTCACCTATTTTGCCAGTAGACTGTCAGCAATTCTCTGTGATTCAGGTCCATTAAAACTAAGAAACAGCACTAAAATGGGAACTAAGAAATAGATAGCACTATATAAATGAGAGTTTATTTTAAAACTCTTGGCAGGAGAATAACTGCAATGCAATTCTCTTTGATTCTATTATTATCCTTCGCCATTATTAGTCTACAACATCTTAAAAATCAATTCATTATGCTGTATTGAACATTCAAAAGTTAATTTGGTATTCAAAGCAGTACAGACTGCATGTTTAATGAAGAGTATCTGGTACAGTATGTGCTAATGAAACAGCTATTTTAACTCAAAACCCTATCTGTTTATTTTTTTAATTATAGAGGCACAGGCTCTAGACTGCACAATTAAAAATTCTACCATCCTTCCTCATCTTCACAGAAAGTGCCAGAGAGACACCAAGTATACTCATTATCTTGCCATGAAGAACACTCACTTGTCCAGTTCACAGTCTGCAGATCGTTCACTATTTTAAAACGTAGCCTGGCCAGACCTGAACAAGTTCTATTTCTGGTAGCTATTTTCTATTTTGGATCCAGCATCACCAGTATGGGGAAAACACATAAAGATTTGGCAAGGCTTGGCAATCAACTTTATAAAGCACAGACCCACTGGATTTAGTTATATTGCTGATCTACAGGATCTTCTGAGTGGCTGAAAACAGGGTTTTGCACATCTTCAGCAGACACTGAAGTGACTGGTAACCACGCTAAGCAAATTTCTCATTTCTCCCAGAAATCAGGCAAAGTCTAACTAAACTAAAACTAAAACTTAAGAGGTTGGATGGCCACACTAATGCGGCATTAGCTAAAATAGAAAGTAGCTGCACAAGGAGATCCAACAGACCAACAGCAAATAGCATCTATATTTAATAACTCATAAGTCTTAACTTAAAAGCCTGCCACAGATTAAGCCCTAAAATATTGGGCACAAATGCAAGTTGTGCTAAAAAAAACATTGTGCCCACATTTTCACTCCACATTATCTGGCAACACTTTATCTGCTGAGGTTTCAGATGGAGCTGAAATATTGTTAAATTTTCTCATAGATAGAAGACTGATATCAAACACTGTAAACAGTCTTACAATACTGGCTGCAGCTAACCCACTATGAATACTGAATTGGCTTATTTGTTACGTGATCATGCCATTCCACCAGTAAAAAAATTAAGAAATTTTTGCTGGGTTTCCAATAGCAGAACCGCCCATTAGCAAAATTGTTGATAGCAGAATAGCAGAACATTAACTTCATAGCAGAGCAAGAACACATCACTTTTTTAAATAGATATAAAACAAAGATCCTGAGATGAGAGAAATCTGGTAATCTTGTATGAATATAACATCCATAATTTATCTGGTATGTTATATTCATACCAGATTACCAGATAAGGTACGGATGTTATATTCATGTGTACCTTAACACCAAAATAGCATTTTTACACAATCCTATTAAACACTTGAAAAGAGCCCTACATTATGTTATGTGTGTTTATAAATGTATTTATAAATAAGAACTATATTTTTATCATTACTTAGACCAACTTTAGGGGACACAAGGCCTAGAATTAAAGTGCTTGACATTTCAAAAACACAGCTGAGTGATGTAAAGTTATTGCCTTGGCATCACAGTTTTAGGTTCACTGAATTATTATTAGTATTATTTAGATTTTCATCACCCTTCAAAGGATAAGGTAGAAAGCACTAATAATGATTCCAGCACTTCAGTAGGCCCAGTAGGAAAGAGACTCCAGAGAACATTAGCCACTGAACAGGCATTTACACAAGCAGTTGTGGATGTGAGGAGCAAACTTCTGATATCTTGAACAGATATCAGATAAGTTACGGATGTTAAATCCTTGGGGGTGTTCAACGGTAATCTTAATGGGCTCGGGGATGATTAAAATACAATCAGTTAGATTAATAAAACTGACTAAGCAGCCACGTTTCATTTGTGACTTTTTATGTTCCTATTATCTGCCCCAACTTTACAGTATGTCATCTTCACGCCGTCTTTCACAAGCGATTGAACAGCACGTCCCCCAGCGCACCATGGCACAGCTCACCTGCGAGCGCCTTGATGCGAGACCTTTCGAAGACCCGGGCCGAGCTGTTGTCATTGTCCAGCTCCTCATCGCCCAGTTCGAAGCGCGTGTTGATGCGAGTGTACTGCTGCTGGATCTCCACGTTGTCGAAGTCGGTGGTGGAAGTCATGCTGGCGCGGACGTGGCCCTCTGGGAAGAGACACACATGCTTATCATTCTGAAGGCCCAGACCATGTTTTAATAGGTTAGGTTCGGTGATGAGTGTCTCTTCTTTTATGCCCTTGCTGTTCCTGTCTCTGTAATTCTGAGAGTGCAAATAGTAGCATGGCACTCAAAGACCAATGCGATCGCCAAGAGATCCCTACTCTACTCGGTACTAGGGGTGAAACCAGTTCTATTGGCAACTGCAAAGAAAAAAGGCTATTACACTAAAGTGGCATAAACAGAACTCTCCAACCTATGGACAGTGGTTATTGGTAACAAAAGGAATTTGTGGGATGGAGAAGATGACCTTTGTTGTTGAGATTGCTGATGAAGAATTTCTCTGAAAGATGGAAGCTGCTAATAGATAAACTAGATAAATGATATATTTTGCAGATTTGCATTTATCATTTTATTTTTCATTTAGAATGTTTCTGAAACCTTTGTAATTTGCTGTTGTCACTGGTGGGCTTGGAAAACGGAAAACCACAATCAAAAAGTCCATTTCATAAGAATGGAAACTGAGTTCCTGAACCCATTAATCCACACAGCCAGGAGTGTGGGTTGATGTTGCTGCGAGTGCTGGATTCTCTTATTTGACATGTGATCTTGCCCCTCAGCCAGTAAAGGAATTCAGAAATCTCTGCTGGGTTTCCAATAGCAGAACCACCCAGAAGCAGAAGCCGTCGTAAGAGGGGACTGAAGAATGCTGGCGATTCACCTGCTTTAAGCAAACAGTTCTTTCAATCAAAGACTATTGGGGAACATAATATTTTCTCTCTGTTTTGGGATTCTCTCTCTGATGACTTCAAAAATACAGATGACCCAAGGAAAAGAAGATAATTAATTCCAAATGCAACCTTTTTATTACAAAAATGTGTTTTACGGTTTATGCAATGTATCAGCTGTTTTTATTCCATCATACAATTGGTGCACAGCAGCTGTTATAGGGTATTTATAATACTTTTAATTTTAGATTTACTGTTACTACTATGTAATTATTATTTTTTGATAAGGAAAACAACTAAACTGAAAGCAAACTCCAATTCCAAGCCAGCCTAACTAAAAAGAGCCCATGACTAACAACAGATTTGATATGAGTACTGTAAGTGAAGCCTATGCGTCTTCTGGGGGGGAACATCTGATTGAGTGCAGGAGAGCCTTTCACCACCTCCAGAGTCTCCGCCCCTTGCCCAGACCGCACAGTAACGGCAACACAGAGTGCAGGTGAAAGTGCTTGATAAGTCTCCGTCTGTTATCTCTCATGGCTGGGCTGTCCAGGCCGTTGGTTATCGCGGTAGGCCAGTTGCATGGCTCTCCACGGCAGGCGTACCAGTGTGGAATTATTTATAAAGAAGACTTCTTCTTTCTAGCAAAAGTGTTTTTCACAGACCCATGACCCTTAACTCCAAAGAATGTTACTGTGCACCGCACAGTATTGGTCTAAGAACATAAGAATGGTAACAAACAAGAGAAGGCCATTTGTCTTGCTTAGCCTGTTTGATAGTAACTCATTGATACAAGCCTTCCAGCCTTCCTTTTCTTGTTAGAAGTCCACTTCAACAACATTATTCATAGTTCTTTGCATAAAGAAGTGCCTCAGTTTTAAAACCACTTCCACAAAGTCCATATTCATTTTTGGGCTGAAACAATGTTTAAAATGTTTAATAAAAAATAAGAAAGGTTTGATTTTTTGATTTTTACACTACAGAAGCATAAATTGTACATGTTCTTAAGAGTACTATATGTCTTCAGATTTGGTTTATCTATTATAACAAATCTCCTGAGTTCAAGTGCACATTTAAGCAGTCTCTTGTGTGTGAAATGCAAACTGACATAGATGTAGTTTCTCACATGAACAAAGTACTCAACAATGAATTCCATAATTATTTACCAAAAAAATATATAGGGAATAAATATTTTTGGGCATAAGATATTGTGTGTATTATGTATCATCCATCCATTTTCTGACCACTTGTACGAGACACCAGTCCATCACCACAAAGCACACACAGACACAAACATGGACCCACACACTCACACCAGGGCCAGTTTCCCAGAAGCCAATTAACTTTCTGGTATGTTCTTCAGCTGTAGGTGGAAACCCACCAGAAACACGAGGAGAACATGCAAACTCCACACAGATAGCACCCCAGGTCCAGAATTGATCCCAGGGCCATTGCTACAAGGAAGCAATACTAACCACTGTGCCACCGTGCCATCCTGTATTATGTATAATGCAAATTTTAATTTTGATTTTTTTTTCTTTGTCAGAATTGTGATTCAAAATAGATTATTTGATAGCAGTTCGTGGATTCTTGGTCCTTAAAGCAAGAATAAGAGGAAGAAACAAGTCATTTAAAAGCATATTTGAACATTTACGTTCTCTTGTAAGACAAAAGGTAAAATAATCTGACAAATTTTAAGAGCAGATTCACTGACACCAGTATTGTGAAAAAGTGTTAAATGAAAAAACAGATTTTCATGAAGAAGTCTGATAACGTTAAACACATTGATGCCTGATATGAATGTGAAAATTTGATTAATTCAATGTAGAATCTCAATAATAGGAGTGATTAATATTAATTTCTTATTAAACTGCTTTGACGGATTATACCCAAGAATTGAAATTGTTGGACTTTTTTAGCCTGTTTTGTTTGAAAAATTAAAATGTTAAAAAGTTAAAAAACATTAATTGTGATTTAAATGTGTAATTACCTAACTGTGCCCCTGCTCTGTTCTTTGATACAGTATATTCATTTTGAATAAGTGATTAGTATTAAAGGTACATTATGACAATGAGTTCAGCTTTGGAGCTGCAACATAATTGGTTGAGTTTCTTTAAGTACTGTAGTTTAGTAAAAAACTATTTCATATTATTGCAGGACACAGCTTATCAAAGAGAATGCAATGCTACAAATAAGAAGGTTTTCTAGGATTACAAATGGACAACCCTTAATTATACCCACTAGAACGCTTTCTTCTGACACTGCAGCGAGCAAATATGACATCACCATAATGTAAACACCGATAACATAGGACGTTACTCAGCTGCATCAATTTTTTTGCTTTGGTCTCGACTGCTTGCCGAGACCACCTCCCTTCTTTTAAAATAAACCCACGGCACTCGGTTCATAAACAGAGCTGCACTGAGCAAATGCTAAAGATATTCCCACTGCAGTTGCCACACTCCTTTCTCAAGCACAGCTCCTGTCTTAAATATCCCAACAACTGCAGGTTCAGCAGCAGCTGTCTGCCCTGCCCACTCAGTGTCTTGAAACCAGGGGGTTAGGATGTCACCTCAACAACACGCTGCTAAACACACTGCCTTCACAGACACCGTGGCTACGGACAACAATTGGGTCCAAGTTCAGGGGAAGACAATGGAAAATTATATGTATCAGCACTCTATAATATGACACTGGTTCTTCTCAAATTAGTTGGCTTTGTCAAACAACTGTACTGTACAAGCTGTGCACCATTCAGTGTACAAATGACAACAGGGAATGCACAATGACGAACCACCACACAATAGGACAGATGTAGAATAAAGCTAAAACCAAACTTGTCAGAAAGCTATGCCTTCATAGTGTGAGGATATATTTAAACTAGACAAGACATCTGCCAAGTGAACAGCTTGTGTGATCTCTACTGCTTTTCTTAAGAGTCCTTCCAGAGAGACTATGGAAGTTGCATTAAGTTTCACATTAGTAGTGCTCAGAGTTCTGAATGGCCAGCTTGGCGGTCTTTTTCAAGCGCTCTTCAGGAAGGTCCTTCCAGGCTGTATATCACTGACTCAGAGCTACTGCCGGAGAACAGGAGCTGTTGGTACGCTTGTGGTGACAGTACCGGGGAATTTTATCAGGCCACAGCAGAGTCCTGTTATCTGGCCACTCGTATTCACCCCCCTGCTCCACCCACAGCGGGAATCCCCTTATCTACAAAGACGAGCTCGCAGGGGTCCCCCTCAGCAGCGAGGTGACTCAAGCCTACCCGCCTGGGAAGAGCCAATCGTTTTCTCCGAACGATCTCCTGTCATTACCTGGACCAGGGAGCCCAGTCCTTATGAATACTGAATGATGAAAATTCAAAGGCAACGTCTCCATTTACCATGGTTTTCCTCACTTAGGCTTTCCTTCAACATTTTCACTGTGAATTTCACTAGTCTGAGATAACATATATTTCACACTGCGAATGTTTGCAGGAGTCATATCACAAAGGCACGCAATGTAATAAATTGTGCTGATATCACAGTCCTAACTATTGCCAGAGTTTAAAATTGTGCAGACCCCATTTTAACTCTTGGCACAAGCAAGGTTTTAAGAACCTGGTCTGTTCAGAAATCGGGATTCTCCCACCCTGGTCCTGGAGAGCCCCAATCCAGTTACTCTTATAGGTCACCCTACATAACTATCTGTTCAAAAAGAAGGAATATTTGTTGAAGCAATCAGTCAATTAAGCAAGTAATGTTTTAATGGAGGGAACACTGGTCCTGGAAGGTTTAAGGATGTTGTTCATTTTTTTTCCAAATTATCTCTGAATTACATAATGGAACACCACTCTTTAAGAAATTGATGGCTTAAAGCATGAATGGGCTATCCGGGTTCTAGTGGGCATGTGTGTCTGTAGGTTTCTGTTTGATTAATGGCTTAATGGGACAAATTTATCAGTTTCTCCCAGCTCTTCAGGGGCTGGTGCTTTGAAGAGGCACGGAAACCCTACACACACACCAGCCCTCCTGTACTAGAATCGAAACACCCCTGATTTAAAGGATACCTACAAAAGCAGCTCCAGGAACAGTGTTGGAGACCCCTGTTATTGGTCACGGCCTCGACAGCTGATAAAATTACAGTAATCTCACATAAATTAATGTAAAATCATGAGGAAATTCAGTACCATGATAAGAAAAAAGAACGAAAAAAGCAAGGAGTCACTTTGTTGCCCTACTGGCTTTAGTGACCTACAGCCTGCTCATCCATCTCAATCTG